CAGTTTGCCTAACGGACAGTTTGCCTAACTTACGGTTTTTAAATGGATATTCCACCTAATAGGCAAACTGTTCGTTAGGCAAAGTGTCCATTAGGCAATGTGTCTTTAGGCTAACTGTCGTTAGGCAAAATGTCTTTAGGCAAATTGACCGGTTACGGCCTTCCATAGGTAAGATTCCCACATGGAAGAGCGGTATTTATACCAACTGATAGCTGCGAAGGTCAGATACAAGCCTTCCATAGGTAATCGTAAATAAGGTTTTTCATCGAAGTTAAATCCAATCAAACTTTGTTATGAATTCGGCTAGAGAAAGGATAGGAGTTTCGAAGTTTTTTGAATGAAATGAATTTAGGTTGCATTCCAAAAAGATGGCTCGATAATTGGATACGGTTGTGCTCATCTCATGAGTAACGGTACACCGATTTTGGCACCGATATATTGTGATTCAAATGGATCATTTTTGGCCGTAATCACTGAATTACTCAGTTGTTTTAATGAACAGTTAAAGAAGAATAGCACGGCTGATCTGAGACCAACATCTTTGAAAACACAGCCAATTACCACACTTCTTGAAGGCGCTGCAAAAGTCTTCAAGGTAAGTCGATCGTTGCATTATCCTTTTCTCATCTAGTGACAATGATAATAATGATAACAAAGCGATAATACTCAAAAATACCAACAGTGATAGCAATAAAAGCCATATGAAGGATAAAATCACCGAACTTAATGAATTCATAATAAAATGGCAATATACCCAACTGTATGAAAATGAAAAGTTATAAAAAGGAGGTCTTGGTCAGTTTACAATATCAAACAAAGCATAGAATTCCGCTAATGTTTCTTCAGAAAACCTACAACTCGCCTCAATTCACAAAATTCATACCAGAACATGATGCCGACAAGATCTACAGTGTGGCAGATCTTAATTTATGGATTTGAACATTGAAAAGGATTCAAAAATAATTTCTCTTTGTCAATTTCGGAACAGAGTGTATCTAATTTTAATCTGTGGTGTTTCTAAATTTGTAATTTAATCTATTCCTGTTTTTAATCTATTCATCAATTTTTCGTTTGCATTTTTTGAATTATATTTGATATTTACAAAATCAGCTGTGATATAAACAAATGAGTGTTCATTGTATGAAAATAAATGGTTATAGAATAAACGATTATTCATTTGATAAAAAAAGTGTGTTGGTGTTGTTGGTGGATTAACTGAGAGATGTTCACAGAGCGCAACGAATTTTATAAGGCGAAAGGAACTGCTTAAAGCAACATGTGAAATATATGGGTGGGTTGCGTTTATTGCGGGAATGAGACGAGATTTCATTTTTATAGGATCTTTCAGAACTCATTGAAATGATTTATTTATGAAATTTGTCTTTATCACAACTGACCTCAGTGATTTTATTGACATTGCAAAGCAAATCACACGTCAGTTCATTAAAAAAATCAAATGCTACAAGTACATTACTGTCAAAGGACTCAGTAAGTAATTGTTTATGAATTATTAACGATTTATTGATTAGAACAGACTATTTGAGTGATCATCATATTGTTCTTCGGTTCTTTGAAACTAGCTGGCAATCTCAACTTCGGGTCCAATATCGAATACCTGTAAGCCAAATTTGGTGTATTCATGAAATTTGACAACAGTTCGTTGTTACTAGATTGCATAAGGCGAACCTATGAGGA